CTTACACAGTTTATGCATTAAAACAATAACCAACAATAGCCAAATTATTTTAGCAGTAATCAAATTATGAAAAGTTGCTTGACATAACTGATACAAAAAGTTCACCAATTTGAAACTTGAAACAAACCCACTACCAATCAGGTGACTTCAATTTTGTTAAATTCTTTTCCAAATTACTTTACACAGATAATCAACATCTCATTAACAGTTAAAACTACAACTTTAAAAAAAGCATGCTTACCCAAGTTTGGAGACTAGCTTAAAGGTAAACCTTAAAGCAGGATGTGCCTGGGTGATGCTTCCAGGCTAAGGTTGTCCTAGGGCCCGAGGTCATTGCCAGGGGGGCCCATACTGTAGCTACTGCCCCGCCCACCTCCTTCCTTTCCCAGGTGGGGAAGGGTAAAATCAAAGGTGAGGGGTAAAGGGTGAAATCTCTTCTCCTATGAGAGGGGTTAACAGACATCCTCTTAACTCAAGCAAAGGGAGTGGGAGAAAAGAGTGACCAGGGTTGTAAGGAGGAGTTCCAAACACCTTAAAGATCAATCATAAAACCTCCAGAATCTGCCAAGATATTTTTAGCTGTTCTAACTTTCCCCTGTAACCTCCATGAAGGAGAATTCAGGGGTGTAGAGGGAAGGGAGTAAGTAAGCAACTGCAGTTTTCCCCAATTCTCTAGTGCTGAGAGAACTGACAGAATTGGGCATACACTTCCAAATAGGGCATCTGTCCTTGTCCTCTATGCTGCGGAAGGTGTACCCAGGTCCATGGCCTCAAACTGACCCACTAGACCAAGAGCCTGAGAGCATCAGGCCAAGTATGAGACAACCTCGTAACTGTCTGCCCGAAAAGCACCTCCAAGCCTTGGTGCTTGGAGAGCAACCCCAACTACAGAGCAAGAAAGGGGGTGGGGAGGCTTACATACCTTCCAGTCTTGGCTAGAGAAGAACTTGGGGTTAGGCAGTTTCCCCATGCAGTTTAGCAGTGCTAGGACCCCAAAATCACAACACATGAGTCCTGCCCAAAAGAATTCAACTCAAGCCTTCTTTCAGCCAAAGACAAGGTTTATTAGAACATCATCATATTGGGCAGACTCTTAAGGAGTCCGAACATGAGTGAGCAGTGGCTAGATTTTAAGAATCTAAGCAATGGCTAGATTATAAGAATCTAAGCCTTTTCCGGCACTTTTTCAAGCCCATTTCTCACTTTCAAAAACAATAACCCTCCCACCCCCTGAAAACATCCCCAAGAAAGTGTGACAGACCTGATAAAAATTACATCATGTGTCTCCTGTTCTCCCTTCCCACACTCCCATCCATATCTCTATCTCATATGCACCCAGGTAAAGACAGATTAGCAGAAAAACTATGTGGTCTAGTAGATAGAAAGATGCTTCAAAGTCAATAAGACCTGGTTTCAAATCTTGTCTTTGACATATACAAGCTATGTGACCCCAAGAAATGTTTTTAGACTTCTGTTGATTTGAATTAGTAGAGGGAGTCTCCCCATTGAGAGTTCTCTATACCAATGAAATCATCGGTCAAGTCAAAAAAAAAAAATCCTGGTTATCAAGAAATCCTTCAAAAAAGGAAGAATTCATAAAAGGGGCCCATGAATCCTAGGGGTCTTTCAACAAAAAGTATTACCTTGGAAGGAAGGAAACAAGCATTTATTAAGTAAGATCTGTGTGTCACAAAAATTCTCTCATTTTAGCCTCACAACAACCCCAAGTATTAGAAGGCATTATCATCCCATTTTATAGTTGAGAAAACTGAGTCAGACAGCAGTTAAGTAACTTACCCAGGAACACACAAAAAGTAAGTCACCCTTGCCCAGCTCGGGTCTTCCAGATGCAACACTCTATCCACTATGCCACCTTGGTGGTGACTATGGGCTGATCATATAAATGAAATCTCATATCCTTAATCATCAGCTTAAGGATCCACTTCTTTCTTCCCAAAGCTGACCCAAAGCCTGGAGGCCAGCAAAATGCTGAATTAATGATAACTTTTCTTCATTCTTCACCTCATATGCACCACAATAATACAAGATCTTTCCCTTCTCAGATCTCACATAAAACATCACATCACTCTTATATCTCTGTAAGTTTTTAGTCTTCCTTTTTATATTGCATTGTTACTACCTATTTATGGTATCCTATTTACGGATAGGTCATAGTCCCCTTCCCAGTTTGTGTTCTCTACAATCAAAAAATGTTTTAATCCTTTGGATTAAAGGACCTAGTACAGCCCTTTCGACATAGTAGACGTGTAATAAATGGTAGTTGAATGAATGATCTCTCCATTTCCATGTCTCCCTCTCTCTGTTCTGTCTCTCCAGATTCCTTCCCCTGCATAAGGTTCAGGGGTCAAGGGTCAGATCAGAAGATGGTTCCATGGCAGTTGGGAATTTCTACTCCAGTCAGGGCCAAGGATGGGAGTAGTCCCTCAACTTCAACAGCATTCCCAGATTCTACCACTGCTACTACCCAAAACCCAGAAATTTCACTTGTCCTTCAGCTGCTGATGATAAAATTAGCTAGGTCACAGAGGGAGGGACAGCTTTTAGGTGTGAGACATTAGGTTAGAGAAAAATCAAAGAATATACATTGCCTAGTTTCAGGGTTGATCTTGGCTTGGGACAGGTAGAAACTTGCTGAGGACAAAAGCTCTATCTCTCCCCTTTCTTTCCACTGTCCAGTGATATACAAACTATATGACAATTTACTACCATGCAGTCCGAAATCCTATTCATCTCCTGCTTAGCCCTAGCATTGATGATATTGGGTTTAGTCCAAAAAGAATGGGTTAAGCTGGAAGGGCTATCATCAAAGAAATCAATTTTCAGCAGTCCCTGGATACCTTGTATCAACTCAAATTGCACCATGGTTGACCTAACAGGTCAGGAATAAGCTATGGAGGGAGGAGGCAGGGAAGCAAGCCTTGGGTTTTGCCTCCTTGGGCAGCTCAGCTTTCTCACTACCTGGCCTCTTGCGGCTTGGTACAGATTTCTTAGTCTACAGCTTCCTTAGTCTGCACCTTTCTTACTTTCACAATCAACCAATTGGTGGGACTTTTATGAAACTTGACTTATGTTATTTCTGGAAAAGACAATTCAGTGGAAGCTAGAGAGTCTCAATGGTTGGATGTTTGGAAGGGGTCACGGGTGTAGAGTGGTCAGGCTAGAATGGGACAAATGGAAGGAGGCAGATTGGGGACTGGAACAGAGCCAGTGATATTAGGTCAAATCAGTGTTCTAGTAGGTCAAGAAATTTTGTGCATGGTGGGTGTTATACAAGACATGGACTCTAGGAAGAGCAAAGGAAAAGCCACGAAGTAAAGATTACAAGGATAGAGAATGCTTTCCATTGGATTTTTCTTTAATTCCAATTCAAGTTCCCTGACCCTGTTTCCTCCTTCTGTCCCATTTCCTATTTTTTCTCTCCCTATTCCCATCTCCACTGAGGGCTATGTGGATCCCAGGTGGGAATAGAGCTGGAAAATTCTTTCTAATGATCCCAACTCAACCTCTGCTTCCCCACAGATGAGAAGAAAACCTGGAACCTGATGGCTATAACTATCACTCTTTCCATCATCCTGTCCTTTATGTTGGGGTTGGACTACATTTACATAATTCCTTGAATCAAAAGCTGCTACCTCATCTTTGCCTTTACCAGCTTCCTGACAGGTACCCACCTGCTTCCCTTGCCCCAGACTGTTAATAAAACTGGTTTTGGGTTTACATTGCTGGTCCTGACTAAATCAATCCCTCTTTATCATTGGTACATAGATTTAGTTTCTGGGATGTCTGTTAATTTATCTGTTATTGGATGAATTCTTGAGCAAAAGCATTCTAGGAATTGACTGGACAGTCTTTTCTTTGGTTAAGGTTTAAGTGTGGGGTTCAAGTCCTCCAGGAGAGATTTTTTTTCCTCTTTTTGTCTGGACAGCAGGTACCTGTTTGTTCACAGCAATCATATTGTACTACCAAGAGCTGAGGAAAAGCTTCAACATGTACTACTATGAAATCAAAGTCAACTGGATCTTTCATTCAACTTATATAATTATCTTCTTATATTTAGTCTGTGGTAAGTTTCCCCAGTGCCCTTGAAGGGAGATCAGAGCCAAACTACCTGTGGTTTAGGGGGAGGGGAGTTGGGGAACATAGGAGTATCTTTCACTCCAAATTATTGAAACTCATCTAGATTCAGTTCCAGGTGTAGCTTCCTCAGAGAGTGAGTTGGAATCTGGGACTATGGATAATGTCAATTCCTGGTGAATAGCTCCAAAGAACATCCTTCCCTTTCTCTTCCTCTATTGCCCTTCACACCCCTTCCTTTGTGGCACATATGGACAAGAAAGACATGGCTGTGAGAAGTGTCTTTGAAGGTGAAAAGAATGAAGGCATTTAGAGAACAAAATAGAAAGGATAAAGGTAGCATCAAGGATAGTTATCAAGATAGTACTAAGAGAGGAGACAATGCGAGTGTATAGTATATCACTCTCTCTTATGCCCTTTCTTTCTAGGATGCTCTCCTCTGAAAGTAAACATCCTAAATGCAAAAGAGATATTTCCAATTTCAAAATGGACCTGACCTTAGATATATCGGGCTAATTTAAAATGTGTCACACTCTCCAGGGTTCCTCCTCCTCTTCACTGCTATTATTGATGTCCTAGAATTTACCACCCAAAGGGGCTTAGGATATTTAAGACCATGGGCTCTGTCAACATTGTATAACCTTTGATACCAGGATGGGAAGCAGACTGTGCTCGGGTAAAGAATTTTAACTATGGAGTCAGAGAACCTAAATTCAAATCTTTCTTCTGAGGCTTACTACTTAAGTTCTATAATTTTTGCCAAGTTCCTTAACCTCTCTAGGCCTCATCATGCTGTAGGAAAATAAAATCTGTAAAATTATTGCATTGGACTAGATGACCTCTGAGTTCCTGTCCATCTCTAAAGCCATGTTCCAACTATTTCATCGCTGTGTCTTCCCAGAACACAATCCTGCCACCAGGAAAGAATCTAACTCCCGTTTCCATGCTTTTGCTATCATTACCTGTTTTTCCCTACAATCCTCTCCCCTGACCATTTTTTCCCTAGGGATCCTCTGTCTTTTGAGCCACAGAGAATGCAACAAGAGGCCCCTAGACCATCTAGAAGAGTCTCCCACACAATTTCCATTGAGACAGTCTGAGAGTATCCAAATGCAAACTGATGATAAAGAAATGAAGGGAAATTTTTCTGACAAAATCCACATTGAAAACTTGAGCAAAACAAGTCTGAGTCCTCAAAGAAAATCACAAGCCCGCCAGGTGACCTGGGCCACATAGATTTGGGGACAACTATAGGAGTCTGTATCTTCATGCATGCGCTTATGTCTCTATTGACTCATACGTGTGTAGTCAGGTGTTATAAGTATGTGCCATTTATTGTAGACTAGTACACGCATATCATATATGTCTGACTTGAAGGACTATTTATAGGAGTGCCAGATGATAGTACCAAATACCCCTATGCTTGATAAAGGAGATTTTCCTCCAGACAGTATGTCTGCAATTTCATTAAAAGAAATCAACACATTTCAGTGGCCTGTAGTTTGTCTTTAGAAGGAATCTGAAAGCCATAAAAACCTTACAGCCTTGCTCATGAATTCAACAAACATTTATTCATCATTTGGTGATAAATGAAAGGAAGCATGACATCAAATTCTGGAACTAGAGTTATGAAGAACTGTATTCATTTCCCATCTCTGTCATATGAATTCTTGACCATAGGCAAGTCACTTACTCTCTCACCCTCAGGCAATTTTCTGTGACTAAGAGGTGAGAGAGGTTGGAATCCATGTAAAGAAGAGAGTTCATACATCAACAAAATCACAAGTCCTTGATCTTTTGGTGCATGTGCTTATCTTAGGAAGACAAAACTGAAAAGCAACATAGTCTTTGTCCTCAAGTAGCTTACAGTATAGCAGAAAGGGAAGAGAAATGAACAAAACAACACTACGGTTAGAACATGGACAAATGTATAAGAAAGGCTAAATAGACTGTACTGAGAGATCAAAAGGAGTGATCATTTAGGTAAGAAGATAAGAGAAGATATCACAAGATAAGAGAAGAGAGGGTAACAGCTGAGCTAGTTCTTAGAGGAAGAGAATTTGGTCAAAAAGTAGAGGTGACTGATTTCACCACTTTTAGGTTCATCATGGCTTTTGGGGAGTAAGTGTGTAATTCACAGTATTCCTACCCAATTTCTACCCAATCCAATCTCTGTTGCTAGATTACATCACCTACACACACAAACCCAATAGTAAAAAATATTTAAATAAATCAAGTGAAGAAAACAAACATTTGTTAACTGCCTACTATGTGTCAGTCACTGTTCTAAGCAGCAGGAATGTGAAAAAAGGCAAAAATCCATACTCTCAAAGAACAATCTAATGAAGGAGACAACATACAAATAACCCTGTACAAACAATATATAGACAGGATAAATTAGAGATAATTTCAAAGGGAAGACAGTAAAGAGGACCTAGAAAGGCTTCTGGCAGAAGGTGGGATTTTATCTGGCATTAAAGAGAAACTAAGGGGTAGAGATTAGAGAGGACAGAGTTCCAAGTAAGTGATACAACCAGTGAAAATGCACAGGGTCAGGAGATGGAATGCCTTGTTCAAGGAACAACATGAAGGTCTATATCACTGGATCACAGAATATCTAGAAGGGAGTAAGGTGTAAGAGGGCTGAAAAGGTAGGAAGACCTACTACTGAAAAGGTCAGTCCAGGTAATAAAAGACCCTAAAAGCCAAAAAGCCCTAGAAATTTATTTGAGCTTCTGCTATAACAACCCAAAGTAACAGTTATTGAACAGATGGAGACTGTCTTTATCTTCCTCTGACATGAGTCCCTGACCCAGACCCAACACTAACGATTATTGGCATCCTAACAGACAATCCAGAGCATTTTGAACTCATGGAATGATGTACTGATACAACCTAGTTCTCATATTTAAAATCCAATAGTACATACACATCTAGATCTTCCTAACCTATTGCATACCATCTACTGTGAGCCAGTCAAATAATACCATTGACCAACAGTTGCTCCAGTTGATTTCTGGGGTCTTCCATCAAATGAACATGCTCAAACCATTTGGAAAGCATTGAATTTGATTGTGTGTCTCACTTGGGTACCTTCCTTCTCCAGTCATGTAGGGAGAATACATCAATTTTTCCTTTGATGGCCCTTCTATTACTCTGTCATTGTAGAGTCACAAAAGGAATTCTTCTCTAGAACCATGCTTATGAAGCACCTCAGAGTGCTTGTTTGATGCTCTCTGCCACCACTGGCCTGTATTGGCCTCTCAGCTTGTTCCCAAGAAGCATGGAGTGTCAGGGTGTTCAGGTGTTGAGCCTCAGCTCAAAGTTTAAAATATTCTGCCAATATTTTAAATGTGACAAAATTGGTCCTGGTGGACAATGACACTCCAGAAACACTTGATGGATCTGGGAAAACTAGGGCTATTGTGTTCACTTTCTGACACCAACAACTTCTTTAGGGAGCTCCAATTTAACCACTTATACCTTAAATACGAGTAGTCCTCATTCAATCCATACAGTCTTTGCCCAGGCACAGAGAATGAAGTTACAGTCTAATGGAGGAGACTGCAAATGTCCTTCATAAATGAATGGGACATAAGTTGTCAAGGAGATCTACTATCTAGCAAGACAAAAAACTCTATACTTTCAGTCAGTACTGTGTAGCCCTATAAGTCCAGGTGGTATGAACTTGGGCAAGGTTATAGGACAGATTTGTTCCCCTGGAGCCTGAGGTGACACCAATTTTATGCCCTACATTTTAGGGACTGATTCCAGTATTTGGAGTGAAAGACCAGTCTCTTTGGTCAATTCTTTAGCATTTGGTAGCAAATTCTCTCAAAACATATAGTTATATTAAACATTTCCTCTGTAGTTTTAAAATATGAAAGCAAAACTCAATGTACAACTCATATATTGCAGTGAGTTTTACTAAGAGATATTACACAGGTCAGATCTCAGATGAAAAACAAATACATGGATTGCATCTTCAAGGATTTTGGCGTCAAGGGCACCCTCCGATGTATCTAGGTGAAAAGAATACTCTTCTGTAGCAGTGGAGCTCCTGGTTCTCTCCTAGCCACCAATACACCTGCTGCATGAGTATCAGAGGACAGATTTTCACCAGCAATGTGATATGAGACCAGATTCTTCCTGTTTATGTAAGAGAAAAGTCTCCACTTCTACTGTCACATCTTATCAGTTGTGTTGCTTTTCAATCAGCCATGAAGGTTTAGAAGTGCTAATTAGCTAAGGTCAGCAGGATGGAATTTAGGAATAGACTTTTCTAAATTCATGACTAGTCTTTTGAGGACACATTAATGAATTTCAGAGATCAAAGATGCATGTAGATATTATTTGGGAAGAGTCAATGATCCAGAGATTCTCATAACTAACCAAAGAATGACATATTGATCATATATGACAGTTACTATCTCAAGGTAGATATCAAACTCAGTTTAGGTATTAATAATTATTCTGAAAATGAACTTGGAAGAAGCTACTGTTGACTTAGACTGTGTAATCTTTGGAGGGAGAGAAGAAGTAAAAGTGAAAAAGTCCACTGAAACTGCCTACAAAAGTTATTAAAAAAATTTTCAGCTAAAAAATTATGAAGTTAACCAATAAAATAAACCATTAGTTAATTTGATTTTTTAAAAAGAAGAAAACTGAATTACCAGTATCAAAAATGAAAAGGATGAATGTACCACCAATGAAGATGAAATTAAAGTAATTATTAAGAGCTATTTTGCCCAATTTTATGCCAATAAAACTGACAATCTAAATGAAATGGATGAATATTTTTGTAGTTTTGTTGTTTAGTTGATTAGTCGCTTCTGACTCTTCATGACCCCATTTGGGGTTTTCTTATGAAAGATACTACAGTGGTTTGCCATTTCCTTCTCCAACTCATTTTCCTGACGAGGAAACTGTGGCAAACAGGGATAAGTGACTTGTCCACGGTTACATAGCTAGTTAAGTGACCAGGGTCAGATTTGAATTCGGGTCCTCCTGACTCCAGGCCCAGCGCTCTATCCACTGTGCCACCTTGCTGGATGAATATTTACAAAAATACAAATTGCCCAGATTAACAAAAGAGGAAATAGAATACTTTGAAAAAAAAATCTACCTTAGAAAAATAAATTGAATAAGACAAAAATGAGTTCCCTAAGAAAAAGATGCCCAGAACCAGATGGATTTACAAGTGAATTCTAACAATTAAAGAACAATTAATTCCAAAACTATATATTTTCTTCTATCAGCATTCAGACTCCGTAGTTCTTTCTCATGATGTGGATAGTATTTTCCATCAAGAGTCTTTTGGAATTGTCTGAGATCATTGTATTGCAGAGAAAAGTCAAATCTTTCAAAGTTGGACATGGCACAATGTTGCTACTACAGTGTACAAAGTTTTCCTGGTTTTGCTCATTTTACTCAGCAACAGTTCATGTAAGTCTTTCCCATCTAAATGCAGATTGAAGCATGCCATTNTAAATCTTTCAAAGTTGGACATGGCACAATGTTGCTATTACAGTGTACAAAGTTTTCCTGGTTTTGCTCACTTTACTCAGCAACAGTTCATGTAAGTCTTTCCCATCTAAATGCAGATTGAAGCATGCCATTTTCTCTTTTTTGTTGTTTTCTTTTTTTTCTTTCTCATGATTTTTCCCTTTTGTTCTGATTCTTCTTTCACAACATGGCTAATTTGGGGTGGAGGGAGAGAGAAATAACTCAAATATCACGGAGCCATAGTCAAGATTACACAAGATTTAGTGGCATTCACATTAAAGGAGCAGAACTCTGGGAATATGATATTCCAGAAGGCAAAGGAACTAAGATTACAACCAACCAAGAATAACTCTCAGAAAAACTGAGTGTAATTCTTCAAAGGGAAAATTGGATATTTAATGAAATAGAAGACTTTAAAGCATTTCTGATGAAAAGACCAGAGCTGAATAGAAAATTTAACATTCAAACACAAGATTCAAGAGAAGCAGAAAAATGTAAACATGAAAGAGTAATCATATGGGACTTAATAAACTTTAACTTTATTCATTCCTATATGGGAAGATGATACATGTAACTCCTAAGAACTTTATCATTATTAGGACAGTTAAAAAGCATTTACATAGACAGAGTACATAAATGTGAGTTGATTATGTTGGAAGGATCTCAAAAAGATGAAAGGGTGAGAAAGAGGATGCATTGAGAGAAGGGGGAAGGGAGAAGTAGAATGGGGA